TGGCACGGGGCGGTAGCGCGCATGCGCGGCTGCGGTCGGCCCGGGGACCATGGGCAGGAGGCGAGAGGGGCTGAGCGTGGCTCGGGAGGTGAGGGCCGGGCGGCGGCGCGGGCACGGATGGGCTTAGGCAAGGCTGAGGCAGGGCTGAGGCGAGGCGGTAGCCATCATCACGGTAGCGTTTCCCTGGAGAGCCCTGGTTGTCAGGGAGGGCTGGGGCAATGGGTGCCTAGCGGCGCCCCTCTGACCAGGCTGTGCAGGGCTGGTGCTGTGCTCGGTTGCCATCTTAGTCTGCGATGGCAGTAGGGGGGGCCGAGGCGGGGCTGCTTGTGCTGGGCCCTCCCGCGGGTGGAGAGCTCAGTGCCCCTTCCTCTGTGCCAGGCCTTTGACTGAGCATTGGTGTTAGGTGCCCTTGCACCTGCTGAGCCTTTGAGGCAGTGTAGGGAGAGGCAGCAAGTGCGTGCGCCCGTAGCAGGTGCTGCGGCAAGCTCATGCCCCTCACTTGCAAATCTGTGCTCAGCCCAGCCTGCATGTTTCACCACAGTGGTGGTGAAAGCCAGCAGTGTGTGGGGCGCAGGCCACTGCTTTTGAGGAACACATCAATAAACTAGTACATGAGTGCCCATAAATCACAACAAGAAGGAGGAAAGACTGTTTTTAAAAAGTATACCTTCCTCCTAAAGCTACCTTTTTATTGTTGTGGCTGCCCAGGCAGGTGGTGGAGTCCCCATCCCTGGAGGTGTTGAAGAGTAGGGACAGCTTAGTGCTGAGGGATATGGTGTAGTTGGGAACTGTTAATGTTGGGTTGAGGGTTGGACTGGATGATCTTCAAGATCTTTTCCAACCTAGATGATTCTGTGATTAACTCTTGAGTAGCAGGAGAGCTGCTGGTAAGCTTTGTTTAAGCTTTATATTTGTATTTATAAACGGAGACATGTTAGTTAATGTCTCTGAAGCATATTTTGTTTTGGCTCTGCACTGAACAGTGCCATCTGGACTGACTTTGAGGAGGAAGTGGAGAGCCCAAGAGTTCAAGTGAGGGTTGTGGATACCTTAGGGACAGCAAAAGCCTGAACCTTCCTGACAAATGGAGCAGAATCAATCCAATGAATCTCACTGGTCACTTCTCCATCCTGATGTCTTTCAGATGAGCATATGTACAACAGACCAAGATAGCCAGGATAGAAAGGCCAACTTGTACTTGTCATATGCTTCATCAGCCTGCAAGGTAAAGGTGTGTCCTACTGTGCGGTATGAACGAGAGTTCAGTTTATAGTATTCTGGTCTGTTTCATCTAGTTAGGCCTTCATTAGGGAAACAGACATTTCTGGGCACTCTAACCCAAATATAACTACCAGAGGGTGTCCAGAGAGCAGTGTGCTGACTGTCTAAGCTTCTCTTCAGTGATCCTATCAGGGACAGTTAAAATAATGAATTTTTGGTGATTGCTATTTGAGATGTGATAGACAAGGATTGTTGAGATGGTAGTGTCTACATTACAAAAAGAGAGGTGGTCAGAAGGGTGAGCTTGTCAGGGACCTGCTGGTCACAGTATGAAAAGGGATTGATTTTAGCTGCCACAGAGAATTCTTGTAAAGTGTTTGGGGATTTATGGTAGCTTTGGATTATTAATTTTTTTTTTAGAAGTTGTCATGATCGAACATACTACTTTCAAAAGGATTGTAGAACTACTCTTCAGTGTGTCATAGATGAAAACCACTCAATGCAAAGATACTACTAAAAGATAAAATTTTTCCCCCTTGCAGTGATGAGAAAGGTACTGAATAGAATTTAGGGAGGAAGAAGACAAAATGTCTTTAAGCCAGAGGAAGAGGGCTGTGTTTCAGGTGTCAGAATGCATGATAACCAAGATATTGATTTAATAATTTAAACTTTTATTCAGTTCAGTATTACCTTCTGAGCTGTTACAACTGTAAAGAAAACTTTCTGAATGAGTCTTAATATGACATGATGCATAGCTAGCCTTGAAAGGCCTAATCTAGGCAGAGTCATGCTTGTTTAACTGAAGTCATGATGCTAAATGAATGCAATTTTCAATATGGACACTTACCAGATTAGCTTGCACTTACAAATTGCAGGTGTAATTGATATGACCTGGTTTAAACTGATATAAATGTGTTTCCATAATGTTGTGGTGGTTTAAACTCATGCCACTTCTCCTTTCATGTAGCTCTGTAGTCTTTCAACAGGCAGGCCAATTGATAATGCTGAGCTGACAGAATTGTCTTGAAGAAACTTGTCAGGGAAATGAAACAGGGAAGACTGGTCCATTTTGTAGCAAAACAGTGAAAATGGAATGAGCTTAAGAGAGTGACAAGGATGATCAAAGGTGTGGAAGACTTCTATGCAAGAAACAGCATACCAGGCTCTTTTAAGCTTGAAAACATGACTGGAAGGGACCTGATATAGGTCTATATCCTCTTCATGCTATTTGTAACTTAAACAAAGAGTGAACATTCACTGTCAATACAAAATTAGGGTTATCAAATGAGACTAGCAGCTGACAAGCTCAGAACAAACAGGAGGGGTTGGTTCTTCACATAACCTGTGGCTGTGCTGTGAAACTCCTGGCCAGAGGATGTTGTAACCCTTAAAAAATACTTTTGGTTCAGCCAACAACTGGAAAAAAATAATGGAAGCAAAAAAGTGGGGCTACTAAATGCAAAGAGAACACCCTGCACTCAGACAGTGCCTAAGTTACAAAACATCAAGTGTGTTTTTGGAGAAAGTATTGTTACATGTATTTCTGCTTCTGACAAGGTAGCATCTATGCGAGAGCATAAAGAACATGCAAAAGGCCAACCTAGTCTTTACTTAGTAAACTGTTCTTACAGGATTTTTCAGAAAGCTGTGTGTGGTGCCGTGTGGTCACGTCTGTGTGCTATCCTGCAAAGCTGCTGACCTGAGCTGAGGCAGGGTGGGCTGACAAACTGGATAGACTCTGCAAGGCTAAAGGAAGAGATGCAGGTGGCATCCAGCCCTTTCTCCTTTACCAACACGGAGGGTTGATGTGCAGGATTTATCTTAGACTTTGCTGGTGGATCATCTTCTGTTGTGTGGTAGCTTGCATGGTAAATATTTCTGAACATGCTGTGGGCACAGCGTCTGCGAAATGATTTGCCAGCATGCAAAATGATTCCAAGAGCATGGTGAAAATGGAAACATGTCCATGGACTGCAAGTTAGCATATGAATTTAAACAAAACTTGTCTCTGCTGGACTGATTTTAATAATCTAGCCAAATTTGCGGATGCAGAAACCACTAATAATTCTGTGAAAAGAACGGCTCAAGTGTGCTGGCAGGTGACGAGGCATAAGAAGACTGCTCAGGAAAGGTTTTTTTCTTTACCCCCACCTCTTCAGTTGGCTTTGATCTGTTCTATGAGGGTCAGAAGATGCAAACCTCATTACCTAACGCTGTTGGATGTCGACGTATGTGTGATATGGCTCTTTGCCAGTATCTTAATTAGGGAATTCATAAAAGCGGAGGGTGGATGCCAGTTCTTGAAAAGTGCTTTTAGCCTTTCTGCTGGAAAGAAAGCTTTTATTAATTCATTACAAAATTTATTAAAAGGGATATAGCTCAACTCTGTAAGCAAAGCTGCTTCTTTTTCCCTTCTTTCTTTGTCTCTGCCTTAATGTGAGCCATTTCAGGCTCTCTGCCCAAGATGGTCCCAACAAATGTGATTTTTAATAGGCATGTAAGTCCATTTGGATTGAAATCCGCTCCAGGTCTCTCTGGTTTAAAAAGGTCTCCAGATTGTGAGCGAGAGTTGCCAGAATTCAACAAAAATGGCTCAATGCCTTGTCATACCTTGTAGAGCAAGGGAGGCAATCTGGTCTTAGATTCCTGTGTGAGCCCAAAGCTGCTTGGACTTCACTTTCTGGAGTGGCTCTTGAAGAGCAGAAGGGCAGCTCTGTCTGCCCTGAGCTACTCCCTGGGTGTGAAGCACCTGTTTCACTTGGCCCTTTTAACTAACACTACTTACAGATGCTGCTGCAAGGGAAGTCCTGTGTTCCTGCTGCAGGCCATGTGAACCTGAGAAGTTGTCATGTGAGCTTCCTGCACACTGCACTTCAGCTCTGTTCCAGAGGATACTCTCCATGGAAAAGTGATCCAGAAGGAGCAAGGGTTTGTCCTTGCAACTGATAAGCCAGTGCACTGAGATTCCACACTGGCTTATCTTTTTCGTGACAGTAATGGTTCAGCTAAGCAAGCTTGGCAGTTTTCATGCAGGGTTCTGGTGGATCTAGGTACATATCCCAGCTAACCTTGTCATGTATTAGTTAGTAGGAGGGAAAGCTTTCCATCCACAACAAGCTCAGGTGTGCTCCTGCTTCTAGGATTGCCCTCCTGGAGATCTGATGCAGGTAATTATACCACAGCTTTACAAGTTTTCTTGTGCTACAGCTTTACAGGCTGTGGCCCCACTGGGAGTTTCCTCAGCAGCCCAGAGATTAATCAGTAATTCCCAGGCATTGCTCTGATTTCTCCCTGTGCTTTTTTTCTATTTCTCTCTTTCCTTTGCCCTGTAGTGAAGAGTTACTTGGATGGCTGAGCTGTTGAGTGACTCCTAGCTTTCAGGAACAGATCCCACATCCCAGGTGAGGCAGTGGGACTGACATACCACGATAGTGCGCTGCCCATAGTTTGGATCAGTGTCTGAGGCTCCTTGTGTCAATGAGCCACATCCAGTAGGCAGATAGTATTGTCCTAATTTATAAGTAGGGAAACTGAGGCACAGTGAATGACTAACATCTGGGAATCCTAGCTCTTGTCCTTCCTTACAACCGCGAATGCCCTAGACTAGCCTGAAGAGAAGAAATCGTGAGATTCTGGAGGAAAATTATTTTGTTCATTCAGCAATCTGTACCTCCTTCCTTGCTTTTTTTTTTTATTATTTTCTGTCCCTTGTGCCCCCAGCTCAGCAAAGCTGATGGTGCAATTCTTGGGCATGTGGTTTATTAGCAAATTATTGCTCTCCAGCAGGGGACCCAAACTTTGGGTTTGATTTAAGAGCAGTAAAACCAGTTGAAACTTTTAAAGTATTATGTGGAATCTGGAGATTTTTAGTCAGCAGAAAGTAAAAGCATTGGCAGAGTTGAGCGGAATATCCTCTTGTTATGTCTTGTGAAATGACGGAACTACAGGCAGAGAATGTACTAGTGAGAGCAACTGCAAACTGAGCGGGAGGAGCAGTTCTCGAGGAGAGAATAGGAAGTGCAATGACACAGATAATTTATTGGTGGGGTTGGCAGCCGACTAACCAAAGCTCTCATTAAATTGTGTTCTTTAACATGATTTTTAAACGTGTTTCCAGGGAAGGCATCGTGCATTGTAATAAGCTTACTGGCTAAGGAAGAGCCAGGTAACACATGCTGAAGTATCTCTTGCTGTGAGGGTTTCCAGTAAATAAGGGAGCAGAGACAGAATCTTTTGCAAATGGTACAAACTGATGAGGGAGGTGGTCATTCTTAAATCAGACCAGACGACACCTCCACTCTAACTGCACTCAGTGCTACTGGACACAAATTAACTTGCTGATAAGTGTGGTCAGAGCTGACTTGGCTGAAGCCCTTGGTTGGCCCTGGAGCAGACTGGGGCAGAGCATTTTGCTGACAGAGCTCTAGTGGATGACAGTGGTGAGCAGCTGGAGTTAACATTCTTAACTGGCACAGCTGGATATGGAGGAGGGCAATTATCTTTGCCCTGACTGAACACATTTTCAGCTAACATGCTTTAAAAATATCCGTGTCCCCATCCAGGCAAACCCAAGCATTGCCAAACACAGAAGTGCCATTCCCTGTGCTCTGGGATCTTGTTGTGTGTGTCCCCCTCCCCAGCTCTGCTGTGCTCCTTACAGTGAGACTATTCACCTGACTGACTAAACTCCTTTTTGCAGTCTGCTTTGTTCTCTCCTTTACATCAAGCCTCTTCTCCTATCCTGCTTATTTATAATGCTTGCCTGCCTTTCCTGAGCAGAAGGTGTGAGATTGCTAATGAGCTCAGGATGGAGCTGATCCCCAAAGCAACAATAATTAGGGATCACTGCCTTTGATTTTTGTTTCCCATATGACTGTTTATGGGAGTGTTTGTGCTCTGGGTCAACTCTGAGGCTGATGTCCAGGCAGCTGCTGTCTCATTCCACCATGGTGTATTAGCTGGGACCATGCTGCCTCTTAGCCTGTGGTTTGTGAATGCTCCCACCATAGAGAGGCTGTGCTGTGAGCTGTCTGGCTGGCCTTGGCCTTGCTTAGAGAACTAGACACAGCAGAAGTGTGCTAAGTAGCTAAAAAGAGAAGTCATTACCACCTCAGGGCACTGGGGCCATTTTCTTTCAGGCTGGGATGTTGTGTTCATATTATCTGATTAGTCTCACTGTTTCTCTGCTGGAAGCAAGCCTGAAAGACAAAGTTTTCCCAAAGATGTCTATACTCTGTTTGCCAGGCAGAAAAGAGGAATGATTCCCAGGAGAACTGTGGTCCATGGTAGGATTCCCTCCTGGGCAGTCCATTTGCACACACGTAGATCAACCCTCTTGTACATACCCACGGTTACTCCTCTCCTCAGGAAGACGGGAGGGTGGCTGTTAGGAAACTGAACGAGGAGACACAAGGAGATGACCAGTGTTTTTCTGCATGGGACCGCGTTGCTGCCAAAACTTGGTGCAGGTTAAAGATGTGGAGGCAGTGGTAAATGCTATCTTGAACATACCATGCAGACTGCTCTTGCTGTTGTAGATCTAGCTGGGTAAAAGAGATAGTAGGTTTTCCCCTTTGTCCCCTCTTCACCCAAGTAGACAGCTGAGGGTGCTTTGTATTCACATCCCATGAACTTCTGCATTGCATCTGTTCATAGCACTAAATGTAGACCTTGTCCCTCAGGCTGTGGCCAAGGCCAGTCTGTCTTATTTTACCCTCCTTTATTGTGTAAAGCTTCCTTAAATCACTTATTTGTTTGTGGACCCACATGCAAAGAAGCTAGAACAGGCTGGAACAGGATCAGATCTTAGCAAAAAAGTGCTGGCCAGCCACACAAGTGGGAGTATTAGAGCTGGCTTGGCTGTATCTGGGATTACAATGCCACTGTTGAGTGGGGTATGATACAGGCTGATCTGGAAGGTGATGGGGTCTCTGTGCTGTGATCTCTACACAGAGCTGGGGCTGTTCCTCCCTTGATTTGGGGAGGAAGGAGATGGAGTGGCTGAGCTGCTACCCTTCCCATCTGAGTGGGGATAGATCCATCTTAGCTGGGAGAGGAAAAGGTGGTGACTGATATGGTGTTTTTCAGATTGATGGACTGGAGGAGAAGCTGGCACATTGCAGACAGAGCATAGAGGAGGTGGATCTTAAACTGCGCAGAGAGAATCTCAGCCCTGAAGGAAGGTATTGACGACCACTTTGTTTCATAGCTGTGGCTGTGTACTTCAGCTAGCTGTCATCCTGCTGTGGCTCTTGAAGGGATAGGAATGTGTGGTTCCCCATAACAAGGCTCTCTTTCCCCAGCTTGGAGCTCGCTTGGGGAACTTGCCAGGGTGAAAAGTTCAGTGATACATGGAGAGAGCTTTACCTTATCAACAGCCTCACTCTCCAGCCTGCACCACAACCAGCCAAGCAGTGTCTGAAACTTGTCAGTTCATTTGCAGAGCTGGCTTCTGGCCTGCTAGTAAACAGCTCCGTAAGTCTGGCAAAGGTTCACTGCACACTGCTACTCAGGCCTTGCTGAAGCTGCCTAAGTTCAGTCAAGGAAGATGTGCCGCAGCTACTGCTGAGGGCCAAACCAGGCTGGGATGAAACTGCAGAAGGGACTGAGGGAAATTACTCTTACCTGTGCCTGTTTTGCAGATGTGTCTGAATAGAGGGATGTAGTGACACACTGGCTTTTCTTGGTAAAGGGAAGAGGGACAGTCCCCCTGAAATCTGTGACTGATGTAGAAGAGGCAAGTATAGGTTTCTAGTAGACTCTAGACTCAAGCAAGGACTTTGACCTGGATTTTGTAGCAGACAGAGGCAGAACCTGTTATTTATCTAGAGTATGAAGCAAGAGATCCTAGGTCTCCCAGCCAATTGTCAAATCTCTCTGCTTGAGGACATTCTTCCAGTCATCAGCATCCTACTGTTTTGGGCTCTGTCTCTCCCCACCCCACCCACATCCCCTTTACTGGGACTTTATATCCCCATCTATATTTCAACAGGCTCCTGTCTCCTCCTGTCCCTCATCTCTCTAGCTCCTCATCTTAACAGTCCTTTTATAGGCCTGAAGTCTTATGTTTAATGTCTGTATTCTTTATCTGGTACTTAGGTTGCCAATAACCAAACCTACATTTGTGGTAACTTAACAGGATGGAATATATCTGTATGATTTATCTCTGAAATATAGGGCCTAGAGCAAAGATGTAGGAATAGGGATTCCTGGAGCCTTTTCTGATTTTACAACTTTGTGGTGGGTTGATTCTGGTTGGATGCCAGGTACCCGCCAAAGCTGCTCTATCACCGCCCTCTTCAACTGGACAGGGGAGAGAAAATACAACAAAAGGCTCATGGGTTGAGATAAGGATGGGGAGATCACTCACCAGTTACTGTCTTGTAACTTGAGGAAAATGAATTTAACTTATTACCAATCAAATCAGAGTAGGACGAGAAATAAAACCCAAATCTTAAAACACCTTCCCCTCACCCACCCTTTCCTTCTTTCCTGGGCTTAACTTCTCCTCCCACCACAGCAGTGCAGGGGGATGGGGACTGGGGGTTGTGGTCAGTTCATCACCTGTTGTTTCTGCTGCACCTTCCTCCTCAGGGGCAGGACTCCTCACACTCTTCCCCTGCTCCAGTGTGGGGTCCCTCCCACAGGAGATGGTCCTCCACAAACTTCTCCAACATAAGTCCTTCCCACGGGCTGCAGTTGTTCACAAACTGCTCCAGCATGGGTCCCCCACGGGGTCACAAATCCTGCCAACAAACCTGCTCCAACGTGGGCTCCTCTCTCCACAGGTCCATAGATCCTGCCAGGAGCTTTCTCCAGTGTGGGCTTCCCACAGTTTCACAGCTTCCCGTGGGCATCCACCTGCTCCAGTGTGGGTGTCCTCCCTGGGCTGCAGGTGGAGATCTGCTTCAAATTAACCTTCATGGGCTGAAGGGCACAGCCTACCTCACTATGGTCTTCACTACAGGCTGTAGGGGAATCTCTGCTCTAGCACCTCCTCCCCCTCCCTGTTCACTGACTTTGGTGTCTGCAGAATTGTCTCACATATTTTCACTCCTGTCCCCGGCTGTAGTTGCCCTTGCACAGTTTTTTTCCACCTTCTTAAATATATTATCACAGAGGTACCACCACCATCCCTAATGGGCTCAGCCTTGGCCAGTGGTGGCTCTGTCTTGGAGCTGGCTGGCATTGGCTTTGTCAACACAGGGGAAGCTTCTAACGGCTTCTCACAGAAGCCACCTCTGTAGCCCCCTGGCTTCTAAAACCTGGCCATGCAAACCCAGTATAAACTTGTATGGAGATGGAAACAAATTCTGTTGCCCTAATACAGACCATTTTAAAAACCCTGAAGGAAGGTACCATGATCAAAATTACTGATTCAGTGAGTAGTACACAAAGGAGAGTGCTGCTTTCCCATTTTGAAGTTCAGTTGTCATGGTTTCTTCAGGTCTCTTCTGAAAGCCTCTTCCCTTGACTGTCTTCACAAGGCAGGTTTTTAAGTAGCATCTCAGTCATGTTGGTAAATCTGTCTTCTCACTTCCTCCTGGCTGTACTCCACATTGCCTTTCCCCAGTTGCCTTTGAGAGCACTTTCTTCTCCTGCTGCTCTGATGTAGCTTGCTTTCTTGTCATCCCTTACTTAACTAGCTGTACACATAGATTTGGATCTCTTTCTTCCTACAGGTTCTTACTCTGCCCCAAGGGGAACAACAAACTGTTCCACTTGCTGCCTTCTCTGTCTGCTCTGAACCAGGAGATAATTTGTTAGTGTGTGTTTATTTATATGCACACAGTCTGAAAGGAGTGACCACATCCTCACTGCTGTAATGGAAATGCTGCTGCTTTCAGGCAATTTGTTTTGTGTTTATATTTTAAACTGTATATTAATTAATTATCTTGTGCAGTTTGAGACAAGGGCTGGGCTTAACCCTCAGTCTTCAGTCTAATAACAAATTGTTACTGGGCTTGGATTCAGCTTGTCACCTTGAGTTGACCACTTTGTGTAAATTAGATACCTCTGACAAGCATCCCAGCTTCAATTCGTCAGAAGAATTAGTGTTCAAGCACTAAGCCAGATGTGCTGGAAGGGCAGGATCCTGCAGAGAGTGTGCAGGGACCCTACCCCATCCATAGCTGGGGAAAAACTTCCTCCCCAACCTGGGGGAACAGAGTAGGGGACTCTCTGACACACAGACCCCTTTCTAGTCTGCTTGTGTACCCTGACACTGTCCTGAAAGGACAGATCTGAAGCAGTTTGCGGGAAGGAAAGAATAATCTAAAACTGTTGCATCTCTTCTCTTGCACAGCTGGGGGTTTCTATACTGGCACATCTCTACAGTGAAGGGTGAGGGGCTCATTCTGTGAGCAGATATCCCCAACCGTGGGACAGTCTCTCTTCTATCATACAAGCAAAGAAATAGGCTGTGTTGTGCCTCACAGGTAATGAACTCCTCATTACAGAAAGTCACTGGAGAGAGAGAGAAACTTACTAATGACCAAAGCTGACAACTATGGTAAGAGCTTCATTAAAAATGGTCCCTCTGGGCTGGATGGAATCAGTGCTGCAGCTTAGCTTCGTCTTCAAGCTCCTGCCACCTCTGACTTCTGCCTTTGAATTCAGGTTCAACCAAAGGGAGATAGACTGAGGGAAAGCTAGTCAGCATATTATAATAGGAGTCTGGATCCTCCTGCTTGAGCTGTGCTATCATAGGAAAAAAATAAGCATCAGCTAATGAGGGGGGAAAGACGTCCCTTTCAAACACCCCAAATTACTGGTCTTTAGATAATCTTAGCCAACAGATTGACTTGGGTAGCTTGTTAACATTTCCCCCCCCCCTTTTATTTTTTTCCTTCCCCTTTTTTTCAACAGGGGCTTGCTAAGCAAGCTGACAAGTACTATCTGAAGTGTAGCAAAGTATATCCTTCCTTGGGGAAGGTTCTCACTGCATCAGTTTCTGGAGCCATTCACACTGATGTGCTTCCTGAAATTCCAGAGATCCAAGGGTCCTTCCTTACTGCAAGTCCTGCTGTAGACAGTTAAAATGAGTCTCTTTGAGCTACTGAAGGTTTGACAATACTACCATTCTGTTAGGGATGATGCTTTGCATGTCTTCAGGCTCCTGGTGGTGATCAGTGTGTTAACTGCTTGACAACACTGCAGCAGTGTAAGCACCAGAGCTCACACACAGGAAAGAAAGAAGCACAGGTGTTCTTTTAGGCCTGGAGAGTTGAAAGCTGGGGAACAGCCAGCAAGTTTGTAATTTTAACTCATGTTAAAGGACTGTTTCCAGAAGACTAACAATTATTTTAAACAGATTTAAAGCTGTTCCAAAGGGCCTATAAGTAGAGGCAGCAGAAGACTGCACATTGCTGCCACCCTTTCCCTAGTAGTCAGCCATCACTGCTACCTAGCATCAACAGAGCAATCCGACAGGCTGCTCAGAGAGCAGCAACAGCCTCACCTAATGGTGATGGCTGCTCCTTCTGGAACAGAACAGACAGTGCATGTGCACACAGTCTTTTTAGATCACTGCTATGGCCTCTGATTAAATCTCTTCTTATTCCAGCTGACACACTTGAGGCCATGAATTGCAGTTGCTGACAATGGCATTATTCCATCAGTTTAAGCTGGCACTGCTGTGCCTGGGGTTATGTGATCTCCTGCCCCTGCCACCTCCTCTGTAGCCTTGCAGATTCAAGCAGTTTCCTCGTGGTTGCATGAGAATGCTTGTATTATGTGAAGAATGGGGGCCAAAAGAACAGCTAAAAGCCTGGTTTGATACCAGCCCATTTGGGAGCCTGCAGCACCAGGACATTCCTACTGGAGGCTGCTAGTGCTAGCTGTAGAGTCAGTAAACCATGCAGCAAGAGCTGTAGAGGCAGTAAATTCAGCAAGAGCAGTCTGGCTCTGGAGACAGCCTGCACCCAACTGTGCCCTGCAAAATAATTGTTGCTCTTTGGCCATGTGACATGTAATGCTGTAGGCCTCACTTCTTGCCTATATCATCTGGCCAAGCCTTGTGGAACAGAACTAGTGGTAAAGGGAATGGAACAGAAATGGAGAGCAGTAAGAATCCATATTTTCAGTAGCCGCTTCCTTCTCTCTACATCTGTGTCTCTTCTGTAAACCAGGGCAAGTGACCTGTCTCTAAAGAGCTGCAGACCCCAACAAAATGAGTGTCCAGTTTCAGACCTGTCCCATACTCATGTTTCTGGGGCACAAGGAAACCCAGATACTGCAACATTCAAAGGTGGCTACAGTTTTATTTAAGTAAATTTAAACATTAGGAAAAGGTACCAGGCTGTTAGTCTAGAAGATAGTAGAAATAGTTCTCTAGCCTCTGTCTTCTTCATTCTCTTGGGGCACAAGCAGTTAGAATAACACCCCATTTTGTCCTTATAGGATCCTAGAAAAAGGTTATTTTCAGACAGGAACTGGTCCGGCACTGAAGTATTCCCAGGCACAGCTACTGAGATTGACAGGATGAGAGTTAACAAATAGAAGGGTTCCTGTTAGTTGACTTCCTATTTAGCACATCTTACAGTTGGCAGCTTTGTGTACTGATCCCGAAAGAGTTGCCTGTGGCCAGGGTAGCATTGTGCTTTTAAGACAGTTTTGAAAGGAGATGTAGCTGCAACACAAACATTCACAGGTGAGGCTTTTGTTTGTTTCCCAGAGAAAGAACTGAGTGTGCTTCGTAAGGAAAATCGCAAGAATGCTGCCCTTGCTGTGGCCATGGGGTTGCTGATTGCTCTTATTTACGCCTGCTGGACGATGTGATTGCACTCAAGAATTCTCCCTGCTGACCAAATGACTCTCCTGCAAGGAGCTCTTCCTCCTCTCACCACCATGCCTCCCCCAAGGGTGAGGATCAGCATTTCAAATTGCTGTTCTTGTTTATCCTCTCCAAACCTCATTGTAGCTTTTTCTCCGAGAATTGAGGAGGGCAGGAGACAAACCAGAAATCACAGCACACTTGCAGTTGGAAATCAGGTCAAGCAGAGCTCAAGGTGGTGCTCTTACCCAAAATACAGTCAAGACCATCCAGCCCGATGCAGGAAGGAAATACATTCTCTGTTTTGAAGACGACCTCTGTGGTTGCAGATGGGTGCTCTCTGCTCAGCCATAACCCAGCCTTCTTGATTCCTGGGACAGCCATAAGCTGAAGGGACACCAGGCTCTTTGAATCAAAGGGTAACTTGGATATTCTTACCTATAGACTCCACCTGTTCCCAGAGCTGAGATAAACAAAAATGTTTCCTCCTCCACACTGACTTACAGGACCAAAGAAATCCTACCTCCACAAAACCAGATGGGAGATAGGTGTATCTTCTTCTGCAAGCAGGTAGCGTCCAACTTGAGATCTGGGTGCTCAGGCTTTAAGACAATCTACCTACCTCTCTGATGCATCAGAGCTTTGCCATTTTGTGCCTCTAAGAATCAACACTTGCAGAAGAGAATTTACTATCAACTCCCAGGGATGCAAGAGCCTCTGCAGGGCTTTAAATAAAATATTTGACCATGTAACTTCCTGATTTTCTTTTTTTCCTGTTTTAGAACATGTGCTTTATTCTCATCCTATCCTCTTCCTGTTGGCACACACTGCCCCACAGTATGCCTATGTTGGGTTAGGTACTTCACATCCCTGGTCAGCGGTGTCTCAGCGCTGGGTTATTGGTCTGTTGTGGCCTAGAATCTACTGGAGTGTTTGCTTCCTTGGAGTGGAAAAGCAGCCTAGCATGCTGCAGAGTGCTGGAGACTATCCCCTGTAGTCTCCTCTCATTCTGTTGCAGTGACATACAGTAGGTAGCCCTCAGTATGCTCTAATGTGCCAGGAAATCCTTTTAAAGGGGCCTGCCTTGAAAATTTAACTGTGCATGGCATTTCTCCATCTCCACACACACCACTGGCCAGAATTCTGTGGAAAGCAAAGTAAACAAGCACTGGTTTGAACGGAAGGGGCTGTATTGGTAATAAGACAATGAAAGCAGAAGTAACACAAAATGATACACAGCCTAATAACAGTACATTGTGCAATTAATGTACATACACATTCCCTTCAGCAAGACCCTCCTCACCCCCCTTCCCAACATAATCCTTCCGTATGTACCCTGCAGTAGGAAAGCATGTAGCATGGTAGCTCATGCTTGCCTCCTTGAAGGGGGATTCAGAATCAAGGTTCAGTGCATCAAAAAAAAATTAAAAATAAAAAATTAAAATCAGGAGGAGCTGGAGGCAACTGGGTAAACAGAAAGTATCTGTTTATAAAAGCTAGCCTGCAGGCTAACTAGGTTTTTTTGCACCCCTGGAGGCCCACTCACCCCAGTGTACTTCCTAGGCACCCTTCTGTCTGCCAGCCCACAGGAGACCAAAGCCCTGAGTGGAGGACATAACACAGCAAAGGAGCCTGGCAGAGGGAGCAGCACACTTTGCTGACATTGGAACAGCCTCAGGGCAGGCCAAAGAAGCACCAGAGCTCAAATTACTGTTTGGTTTAAAAAGCCAACTGTCCACAGACCTGAAAACCATACAGTTGGGAGGTTCTTTATTGCCCACTGGGAGAGAATCATCTCTCATAGAAGTGCTTTTAAAAAAAGCCAAAACAAAACTGCCAGTGACAGGCCTCTTGTTTTGTGGTGGGGGGGACAAGAAGGGCCACCATTTCTTTCACACATGTTTTACTGATGCTTCAGAGCAGAGGGGGGTCTACAGGTCAGCAAGAGGATGCATTAACAGCATGCAGTCCCTCAGCTGCTTTGGTAGACCTCTGGGGACTAAATAATAACAAATGTGAAAAAAGCAGCTTTGACCCACTTCACTATGGGCCAGAGCTGAAGAAACAAAACAGCTTCCCTGCACAATATTCAGGGCTGCCTATTTGTAAGCTAATCTCCCATCCTTTGCCTCTTCCAGTTTCCACGGACCAACAGACCAACTACTGTGCTGCTCCTTTAGCCAGGGGTGTGGTTCTGCAGTGATCACGCCTGAGTATAGTTTTCTCTGCTGCAAGGAGTTGCAGCTGTTAAACTCATTTATACCAAACTGTAGAGAATTAATACATGGTTATATGCAGACAGTTTCCTTGGGAAGACATGGAAATGCTCAGCAAGCACAGCCTACTTATAGGATAATATTCATCTGTGTGCTGAGAATAAGCACAAAACCTATGTGTGATGCTGGGCCTTAATAGGGTAGAAGTGGGATTTCTACAACATGCCATCCTCTTCTGGCTTTGAGTGGGGTACAGGGCACCCACATGCCTACAAGTGAGAATTTCCATGTCTTGCTACATAAAGCTTGTTCAAATCCTACATATGGGTGTGGAAAGAAACAAGAATCTAAACAACTGCTACAGATTCTAGGTGAACTATAGCTTTCTTTAAGGCACAGTTCAGAGAAGCCCTACATCCGTTTCCTCCCTGCTGGCAATCTTGTGTTTAAAAACAAGCCAACAACAACAAAAAAAGGGGCAATTTTGCTGCTTGGCAAAAAGCAGACAACTGTGTGTTATGATTTATATGGAAGACCTGGCAAAAGTGCCATGGAAGCCAGAAGTTAAACACAAAACAGAAGACTACTTCGAGCCCAGCACAGAAGTACATGGAGAAGTCTGTTGACATACAAATACCATGCTAGGAGTTTCACAGCTCTGTGCCTTCACCCCAGATGGCAGTTCCAGGGTCAAATGAGACATGGAAGGTTTCAAAGCCCACTGACATTTAAAGTCTGGTAACCTTTCCAGTGGGCACCGTCAGGGGGCAGGATTTCTTCTGAATAACCAACATGGTCCAAGTCAAGATCTCTTTTCACTGAAGCCCTGGGATGGTTTTAATTAAGTCAGACATTCCCACGATTTCCTCCAAAGACCTCCAGCATCACAACCTTCTTGTGTCTTCCCTCCCACATCTGCTTTTCTTCCTGAATATTTGGGTAATAGTGTTGAGTACCAAGAATCAAAGCATCTTGGTCTCAGCACAGATGCATTTTTTTGACCTCAGGCTGCTGTCTCAGGATCAGTCACTGACCCGGAGAGGGAAAATCCTTGTCATAGCAGCTTCTAGAGGTCTGAGAAAGCCCTAGTACCGAGCACTTCAAATATGTGCCAGGAACCTCTGTTGGCCTTTGTCCAACAGGACACCATCACACAGGAATTGCCAATGGCCAGCCAAGTGCCTTGATAAGCAGAAGTGTTGGAGACACCAACAAAAATACATACTTGTGTCCCAAAGCTAGCATTCCACAATGAGTTAACCCCCTCCACTGGGTAGGCCTTTGACAAGGCTGAGGAGACAGATAGCTGCCAGGAATGATGCAGGGCTGCTTCAATGTGCTGTTATCCAGCTCTGCCACCAAGACATCTCTGCTTCCTTCCCACACTGCCAGGGAAGCAAAAGTCTGGACAGTTCTGGCACACAGAGAGCTCCACAAACTTTGCTGAATGTTTGAACAGGAGCAAAGAAAGCTGCCAGCCCCTTGGCCTCATGCATGCAGTAGGTCAGGACAAAAGGGCATCAGGCCTTGGCTCCAGGAGTCACCAGGTGCTACCTGGGCCATACTTGTATATACACTGCCAGGGCAGAGCCTTGTCCTGTGCCTTCTGCATACCACCCCTCCTGCATTCACCTCCAGGAAATCAGCCCTGGAGGATACCAGGGCAGAAGTTGTGGAGCCTCCCCAGTCATCAGTCCCTGAAGAATCCAAGCTGGGCTCAGTCACCCCTGCACCCCTCAAGAGAGCAGGGTTAGGGGTAATGCGCTTGGATGAAAGACAGGACATCCTCCTTCGACAGCTTCTCTGGATCTTGCCTTTTCTGAGAGTCATGCACTTTGACACCTTCTCCCCACTCCCAGAAGAGGCGGCTGTAATGGCAGACACTATGGGCAGAGAGGAGAGCAAGATTAGTTTGGCAGGGAGGGGGGGAAGGAAAACACTGTCATCCTTGCCACAAAGTGCACTACAGAGACAGCTGCCCTTGCAATGGGAGCCACACACAGATATCCTATCAAAGGCATGCCTTGGAAAAAAACAGTACATACATTCATTCACCTTACAAACTCTATAGCCCTTAAGATACAGCAACTTCCAAACCTGAGAGATTTCCATGGAAACAAACTTGTTAATTCTAGCTTCACTCAAGATTCAGTGCAGTATTGGCTGGAAGGAGACAGGTCATTAGGGAAAAGCCTACTCCCCCATTCCCCCCCCC